TTCACCAAACGTCCACTCATCTTAAAGTGGCCAAGTTTGGACAACACTGGATTAATTGAATAGCCAGGTTATATATGTTGTCTGAATATAGCCTTAGAGTCACCTCCTTATAAACTGTAATGCTACATGTTATATTGTGGCAGTACTGTATCCTCAATGCACTGCATTTATTCTGGGCCAATCCTGTGTGTGATCCACTAATTAAGTCTTGAGTGTCTTCCATGTAGAGATATAAAAGGCACACAATTCATTACATTTAAGGAGTGCTCTGGTTCCTTGAGCTTTTCATATGGTCCCCACATTTGCCGTGTAGTTGTGTTGATAAAAATCCCTGTCTGTGATGAAGAAGCAAACATCTCCAAAGCTTACTGGAGAATAAAGGTGATCACTTCACTGAAAGCATTTATTTTGTCAGTAACTGAGTAAGCTGGAAGGCTTCCAATGACATGCTGGTTTGAAAAGAAAGAATGAGAACTCATGAAAGAGGTGAAATTGTGCCTACTAAAGACCAGTCTAATGATGCCTTTGGAAAGATCAACGTGGGAAAAAAGCTGGACCAGTTCTACTTCCAGCCAGAACTAGGCTATATTCAGACAACATATATAACCTTGCTGAGGTTGAGAAACACTGGACTAGAGTGCTCTTAGATCCTTGTATACAAAAGAGAGATATTGTTGTACATTTGCAGCCGAGAAAGGAAACCCGTCAATACCCCTTGATCATACGAACCTAGCAGAATATTTGTCACCATCACAGGTGGGTGTGTATGTCTGTGTCTAGCAAGTTCAAGGATCAGTGAGAGGTTAAGGTTAGGGGTTTTGTGTTTGCATGGCCCACTACTCATGGTAAACTGATCCACAGTTTATTCAGTTAGCTCCATTTTCTGGGCTTACCCACCACCAATTCATACATCATAGAGATGGGTAAGGCTTTCACCATCTGTTGGGCTAAAATGTGGAGAGCCAGTTGGTGGCTCAGTGTGTTACTACTGACAGCTGGCCTATCCTAGGCAGAGATCCCAGGTGTTGTCCTCATTTTTAGTATCAGGAATGGAAATGTAGCCCATAATGTTTAGGTTCCAGAAGCAAAGGAGATAGGAAGATAAGAAGTTCCAGGAACATACCAGAAACTGAGATCAAATTACAAAAGGAACTCATCCATTCTTAGCTGTTGTTTTTAGAACGCTGATATGAGAGGAGCTTTAGATGAAATCAGAGAATGGAGTTTCTGGGTTTTAGACTGGCTGAGAAATCTGGGAGTTGTACTCCAGGTCATGAAGAGGCTGCATTAAGCTTTTCCTCCATAATCTGAACACCAAGTTGGTGAACACCATGAAGGATGAAATCAACTTTTTCACTTGATCCAGTTCTTATGTTTGCTTACTGAATAGCACAAAAAGGTCTAGGTTTGTTATACTAATGCAATCAATAAGAAAATGGTCAATTCTAATATTTTAAGGAAGTAAAGCCCACCAGAGATTTCATGAGTGCAGAATCATACATTGTTCTGGAAGTCAGTTCAGAACTGACACCCAGAGTTTTGCACTTCTCACTTTCCATCTTTTACAAAAGAGGCTGTTTTTCTTCCTCAGTGTTAAAGAGCTTTAGAATATCTTTGGGTGATGGGTTTAACCTTAGCTACAAATGGCAGCAAAGTGCCAGTTAGGAGACAAAGAAGAGAAATCAGCAAGAACCCAGAACGTTGTACCACCTCTATGACAATGTCCCCAAAATGTTTTTTCCCCCCTCTGTCTCCCAGCTTTCAGAAAAGAAATTCTCCAGTTGAGTAAGGAGTACTAAAACAATGCAGAACATTTGAGTACAAAGACATATCCAAGTCCTTGGCAAAAGCACAGCACATTCCGAGTACAGCATTAACAGAACGATAAGAAGGAATTCACCAAACTGAAATCAAAATGCGGTCCAATTTATTTTTCTCTACACAAGTGGAACTCTCAGTAACATTGGTTATTTCCAACACAGAGGGCTGAGAACTGTCTTAATAGCAGCAGTGATGAAAACTCATATAACTCCCTCGCTATGCTCTGCTGACTGATTTCACTGTAGAAACAGCCTGCGTAGAGAGAAAATGAACAGAAAATATACTTTGCCGGTTCGTGCTGAAGCTGCACCCCACTTTCTCAAACAGCATAAATTGGAATGCTGTTTAATATCGGTCACCTCAAAGGGCAGCGCTGCATATTTTGGAGAATGAGAGAGAGCCCAAATTTCCAAATGCATTTTACATCCTACTGTGGGAATGCAGAAAGCTTCTCTTTATATGTTACCCGCAAGCAGGAAAAACAGCAAGAGGTGGAGATCAGATTTTTTCACAAGTTTGCTAAATAACATGCTACATTCTGTGTCCCCCCCCGCCCCCCCCCAAAAGTCATCAGCCTCTCAGTGGTTTTACAACATTTAGTGTAAGGCCAGCCTTAGCAAGAAGCCCGTCTCTGCACTTAAGTTGTGCAAAAGGCACTAAAATATATTGGAAGGAAACACTGATTACGTGGGATTGGGTTAGGGCTCTGCCACATGGTTGATTACAGCCAAAAGCTGGGAAAGGAATTAGGTGATATGACTTTAAGCCGAGTTTAATCTTTCCCCCAAGACTCTTACAAGCTGTCTAATGAAAGGAACTACAGCCAGGAAAGCTCATACTTAAATTGATATGAGAGTTTAACATCAGATCTGGAAAAGATGCTAACAGTTCAAGATTTTCTTCCTTTCCTCCTGCTTTGTCACGGCCTTTTTGTGGTGCTTGGGGTAATCCTTTTCCAATTGTAAATTTTGGCCAGCCAGCCTGCCTGCCTTCCTCTCACACAAACCAAAAGCTTTGTTGTTGCTGAAATCAAGAATACCATAATCTAGGCCACTGTTTCTCAACCTTGGCAATTTTAAGATGTGTGGACATATTTTTCCTGGGCTTATTCATATTGCCTGCCCTGATCCAATTAAGATTATTGGTGATTAACTTACATCCCACTCCTTAATAACCATAGACGGAACGTCAGTGTGGTCTAAAGTCAACCTATTTCAATGAAAAACTATATTCCCATGAGAGTTACCAAGACTACATTTTAGGTATGATTTTTGCAATGCCGGCAGGAATAAGTTGACCATTTCCATGACTTTCTTGTGAGGCAGGGTAAGATCTTCATGTGGACTAGATCCTTTGTGCACATGTGTGTGTATATGTGTGTCTGTGTGTGTGTGTGAGAGAGAGAGTCTTTTCTCCCTGCCTGTTTTTGGTGGGCTTCCCACTAAACAGATTTTCTCCTCTTCCCAAACATGTTGTTGATCAGTTTGGCCATAGATTTTGAACCGCTGGGCCGTCTCTTCTCCTTTCCCCTGGAATGAGCAGTGAGGCTCTTCAGTGCTTTGGTGAACATAGCTCCCACCTCCTGGCACTGTTCCGCAGCTGACAGTTCACAAAACTGGCATCGGTTATCCAGGGCCAACTTCTGTCCTTCATCCCAACCAACTTCTCGTATGTGGCACAAATCTTGCTTGTTCCCAACCAAGACAACAGTGCACTCTGGTGCTCTGAAAAAAAAATTGAGAAAGGGAAAGCTTATAAACAAAGAACCTTCTTAGGCTTAGGTTATTTTTACATCAGTTACTTCTGTTCAGTGTTTTTAAAATGTTAGATCACCATCGTTATGTACTGGTATGAGAGGTATATTTTTATTTAAAACATGTATATGGCCACCCAACTTATACAATTCAACCCTGGGCAGTTAGCATCAAATTGGTCAATGTATTAAAAGATACAAACTCAAATCTCACAGAATTAAAGGCCATCACACTCTAACCAAGGCACCATAACAACCTCACCCCTGCTGCACGCGTGCTGGGTTCAGCTCACATCCTGGGGGAAGAGCCAGGTCTTCACAGCCTTCTAGAAGGCCACAGAGATCTTCCAAATCTCAGAAGGGAGGCTGTTCCATAGGGCAGACACCACTACAGAGAAGGCACACCTCCTAGACCCTCCCAGATGACACTGCTTGATAGAGGGGACACACGCACATATGTACATGCGTGCACATGCCCAGTAGAGTTCATCTATGTAACACATGCATCCCCTTTTTAAAAAATGTGTTCATTTGTATCATATTCTACATGTAATGCCTAAGTTAAAACCAACAAAGAGTAAGGTGTCTTCTTTATATGACAAGCCTATATTTTAACACAATTGAATTATGATTTTAAAGGAAGTAGTTGAGGAACTGTTTGGGTGAAATTCTAAGATGTTTCTGTTAGGATCCTGATTGCTCCTTAGTGTTTGTCTCTGCTTTTTTAAGCAAGGAGAGTGAAATATGCTGTTGGCCATTTCCTCTGGACAGTAAGCAGACAACAAAACTTTTCAAGATGACAGATTCACATTTATGAAGGCAAAAATTGTGAAAAATAATCAGTCATTGGAGAGTTCTTTGCTTTTATTGGACAGGGATCTTCCTTCACACTAGCAATTTCTTTCCCACACTGCAATTAAAAGCGGAGATTGAATTTCAGCTGGCTGTCAGTTGTAAATGTCACCCAGTTCAATAAAACTTCCTCTGAGGTAGCTTTGTCCTGCGCTGCAGATACGTTGACCCTAATAAACTGGTTTTTAAACTATGTGCAATTCCTATTTGGTAGGCCTGTGTGTAAGGCTTGAGCTGGCTGAGTCAAACTAGGTAGATGCATTGCAATCAACTGGACTGATTGCTCCTGTCTTCAGTGGGTCTTCACTTAGCGGGGATCAAGCCTAGATCTAGCCCCATTTCCCTTATGATCCACATAGACCTTTCAGTTTCCCTAATCAGAGCCACTGGCTAACTTGCCTTTTGCAAGCTCCTGTGTGGCACTCACGGATCCTGTACAGCAAGGCTTTTGCGAACGCAAATGAAGTTCTGTCACTGATGTCGTAGACAACAACAAATCCATCAGCCCATTGGAGTTCATCTGGGAGCAAGAGTTTCCCTTGTCGGGGCTGGAAGGCAAATGGACAAGCAGTTTATATGGTACTTTTGGTTGGAAAGACATGGTTTCAGCCGTATTGTAACAAAACTGATTATCAGTCATCATGTTGGCATCAACTCTTAGCAACCACGTAGACCAGGGTTCCTCAACCTTGGCAACTTTAAGATGGGTGGACTTCAACTCCCAGGATTCCCCAGCCAGCCTTGCTGGCTGGGGAATCCTGGGA